ATTTATTTATTTATTTATTTATTTATTTATTTATTTATTTATTTATTTATTTATTTATTATTTATTATATATTATATATTTAGTAAATAACGTATAAACGAATACAAATAGTGCATTACCCCTTCATTATTTGCAGTTTATTTGTCGGTATAAAAAACTCATAAGTTCAATGTCTTACACCGTTCTGTGGCTCAAGAAAATCAACTAGTTAGTTGCATGTTACAATTTTGTTCTGAAAAAGATACTCAAACAATATTACTATCGTTTAACAACGATTTATATCGCATAAAGTACATTGATTAAAATTACATACTCTTTAATACTGCACATTTTTCGTACACATTTGCACACATTATAATAATTTATGAACCGTTATGTCTTGCGGTGTTTAAGAGTCCGTATACGTCTCGTAAAGTAAGGGATCGTCCCGTTTTCCGAGATCTCTCCCATTGCCCCAAAAAACATTATCGGGGCGACAAGTTGCCCCGTACTTTACTTCTTACCGTCTTTTTGCTTTTGAGCCCCACCAATAAAAAATACTAATTATGTTTTAACTTACGAATTATTATTTGAAATTTTATATTCAAATGAGCAAAAATTACACCATTTGGAATGTAAAATCAGTTTGGTTTACTGAAGTTATTTCCATGCCTATAAAGGAAAGTTTTGTAAGTACTGCAATACTTTCGTCTTCATTTTACACCAAAATAACATCAACATATGTTAGATCCCAAATACACGACCCCACGCCGACCAGACAAATTGTTATTTTGTTGTTGTTTTTTTAATTTTAGAAAATATTTTTTATCCGTATCTATTATGATTTCGCAATACCACCAGGAAAAATAAGAAATATTCCATTTTTTTAAAATACTACATGCAACATTGTTAAGATGCACAATTTTGGGAAATTATTTCAATGTATAAATAGCTATTGCAGCACTATCTATTGGCGTATGACTGCATCAGAATGCCGAGAGAACTACTGAAGAAGTCGTTGGGTGTCAATAAACAGCTCATCTTCGGCCTCTGGAGGAGATTACATGCCACATTCTCTAAATGCGAACTTGATACCATGCGAAGCCATTAAAAGATAACAGCAAGGGAGATAAAGAGCTCCTAGGCGCACCATTATTTGTTTATCAAACTACCATGATTTGACATTAAGCCTCGTACTACTGTTATGTATTAAATGTTTCATGCAGATTGTTCTTTCATATAGGACCAAAATTTTAAGGCATAACAATTATCCTACTCGTCCCAATTCTGCCGTAATATCCAAAACCATTTTATTTCATGAAACATATATTGAGAAAATTGACCTCTTCCTCTAACCAGAAAAAAAAATTAATTTCATGAAAAAATATTTCAATTCAGCACATGCAGTGTTTTTGGAATATCCATGTAATAAATCAACTAGTAGTGCTTAAAAATGGCACAGACGTTCTCGTACTAGTTAATTTTCTAATTTCTTTGGTCTGACCTAGCTTTTCGGTCTTGCCCCATTCTCGCGCTAGCTGCTATCTATCGCCATAGAAATTATATTTTTTTGAAATTTCTTCCATTTTTTGGTTTACTAATGTAGCACCGAAATATTACTTCACGAATATTATAGAAAAGTAAAACCTCGTTCTAAATGGAAATTTAATTTCAAAAAGTTTTCGAGAAACTTCATTGAATTAATTTGAAACACTTCTACTCACAAATGCAATAATATATGGAAATGAGCGTATTAACGGCGAGAGATATTTAAAAAAAATACATTTGCGTAATTTTTGAAAAAACAAAACAATACAACAAGTTAAATTTCATGTCAACTAATGTAGCACTATCAGAACAAAAAGTTTGAAAAAAAATGAAGCTTGACGATGATCAATAACGGCCCAAAAATATTTTAGAATATAAATTGTTGTTTCATTGTTGGACCCAAACGCAAGATACATACTAAACATATGACTGATGATTGAGTGGTATTACGTATTTTACTCACAAAATTGTGCATTTTGTATTCGAATAAGATCAAGTAAAATATTCCCACAAATAGTTTAGCTTTTCTTGTCACTTTACCTTTTCGTATTGCCCTTCAGTACGCACTCGGGACGCGAAGCGCCGCAAGAGTGTGAGATAGTCATCAGGGTCTTCAAAGCTGTGAAACAATTATACACACTCACTGCAAGCCCTCTCTCACAGAAATTCGTAAATTTTAATTACATGCAACACATTTTGAATAATGTTAAACCATTAAACACTTAAGTTAGTTTTAAAATATTCAAGCGGGATACACATGCGTTTAATTGGCTGTCCGGGTAACGCCGCGTCCATGGCAAAGGTGCTGACGTTTCGGTCACCATTATGCGACCTTCCTCAGGGCGTAATGTGGAAGGTCGCAGAATGGCGACCGAAACGTTGTGACATGGACGCGGCGTCACCCGGACAGCCAATTAAATACTGGCTCTGGCCGCGGAAGATTACGCTCTCACTGAGATAAACCTGAAACCATCATAAACAGTCAAGTCGCATGGGGCCCACCTCTGTATGAAAATAGCAAAGTACGCTTATAAAAATGACGCGTCTGTTTTCGTTGAAATGTATGTCTTTTCGAAAATTGCAAAAATTAAAATCTTAGGCGTCCTCCTACAAATAAAATATTGAAGGTGGTTTTTCAATTTGTTTTTCAACATAAGATATTTAAATATTACTTTGTAAAGGGTTTTTGAAAATACGAGTAGGAGTTGTTTTTCCTACATTTAAGGAAATTAGTTACTTTTTAACTTGAAATAGTCTGATTTTTATTTTGCTCTTTTAATTTTCGAAAGTCCTAAATGTTCAATGTTATTTTTAATGCGTCAACTAAGGCATTGCGATTGATAATGTGGTGACGCTATGTGCTTCAAAACCTAAGCGACTGAGTGCCTATCCCAGCGTGGCAATGTTTTGTCAGTTGTAGCGTGGTAATGCAATAAAGTACATATTTCGTGGGACCTCCGGTTTCAATATTGGAGAGCTGCATTAGAAATTACTAGGTTAATCGCTTCAGTGAAGTCGTAAATTACAGTTTACAAAATCGACAACTACTAACTTTCCAAACATTCAGGAACTCCTTTTCTGGCAAAAGGAAGAACAATCATTACAAAAAACATCATCTCTGAATTGATGATGCGTGTTTGACGTTTTAGAATTAGTACTTCGTCAATGTCATTTTTTTAAATAATATCGTCATGGTATAAAAATTGTGTATATAAAAATGTACTCTTATTTATTACCTCAAGTAAATAAATTGCTAATTTAATTACTTTTTTACGGTCAACATGAGAGTTGCCATTTCGCACACCCAATAGGCCGTTTAATATTTTATATATTTTGTTTTCGTTAATGTTAGATAAACCAAATATAGGTGTTGTTTCATTATTTCTTTAGCTTCGGATTAAAATAGGAAGATGCATAGACAAGAAAGTGGTCCGCATGCAAAGGCACTCACGGGAACCGATCCAAGTTCCTGGCGAAGAATTCGATCGCCTGCTCGCATGCGCGCGCGCCGCCGCCGCCCACGGCCTCGCGGACCTCGGAGCCGCAGGGCGCCGCCAGCGCTGCCAAGCGGTCGTCCGGCCGCACGCGCTCCGGCAGCCGGGGCCGCCGCTCCAGCTCGTTCTCCTCGGGCCCGCCGACGCGAGCGCCGTCGCTCAGCGTCGCTGCCAGGAGGCGCTGCGCGTCGCGCGCGCACCCCAGCGCCGCCAGGGCCTCGCGGTTGCGGTTGCTGCCGTACCTCGGGAACTTGGCGTACTTCCGCCACACAGCGTCCCACATGGAGTCGCAGTTCCGCACTAGGGCGCACCACCAAGCAGTCGAGTTTTCGTCCCTGCAACAGAATCAGCGGCGCAACGGTCGGGCCCACGTAAGAGAGGGCCTATTATTTTTAGGTTGAAGGTGTTTAGATTTATTAAAAATTCTGCAATTAAGTTTGAGAACGTGGTGACAGAATACACTAACTTAACATTACAGAACTTAAGAACTTTACAAAATCTACAAACTTAACAAAATCACGTGAACATTTCACCGTGCAATCTTTCATAGCACTCCTCTCCACTTCACCAAACTTCACTCCACCGCACTGCGAAACACCGAGCTGTAATGTCTTTCTTACAAACTCGTTACCCTCAATTTTACAACGCCACTGCAATGCACATAATTAATAATAATGATAATAATAATAACAATAACAATAATAACAATAACAATAATAACAATAACAATAATAATAATAACAATAATAATTATTATTATTATTATTATTATTGTACTTAATTACATAGAAGACATAGTTACTTACACTGAATAATATTAAATGTGTTGCGATTGTAAGAAACATTAATTATCTAATACTTTCTCTGATCCTTTGTGATAGTTGATACAATAAAAGATTAAAAACAGCATCTTCTAGAGTTACCAATTTTTCCGCTTCGATACCGTATGTAACCGTTTCAATATCAATAAAGATAAGCGCCTCCTTTAGGGTTTAGAACAGTTTTAATTTCATAAAATTAAATAAGGCAGATTTTTCCACTATTGGTTATTGATCATCCACTGAGGAATTCGAATTTTTTAAAGGATATTTGTATAATTTAAGGCACTAACAATACTTATGTTTGCCACACACTTTTATAAAGGGGTCTGGATAAAACTTTGCGGGAGGGCCCACACGCATTGCATTACAGAACAGAATGTACCTCAGTTGCGGTCTATGGTCCGATTTGGCTGAAAACTAGTGAAATGTTTCATCTCGGTGCATAGTCAGTTCATAATTGAGAGACTTCAATGCATAATCTTGAAAAAAAACAATAATGATAAAACAAAGATTCATTTCATATTTTCTTGAACTAATTTAATTGCAACCTACCCATGTGCATATTTTTGGCGCAAAATTATGTTGCAACAGAAACTATTTTGGAGCGGCTGAATTGAGTTGTACTTGCCGTGGAGGCCAAAAACGCAGCCTTACTAATTGATAAACAATTGTGCCAGAGCAATTTAACTGTTGAAGTACCCTGACAAAAAAATGTAAATTTCTTAATTTTTTATTGTTGTTTTCGAAATCGTGTAATAATATATTTTACTCTTTTCCACTGCTTTAGAGTTTAACATGTGATTTCCACTGAGTCAAAAAGGCACATATAAGTACTGGATTTTAGTTTCTAAAGAGAGATTTTAATGCATGAGTTATCTCTCATCATTAGTGGCATAATGCGAGGGTGTAGTGAAAAAAATGGATTTCAATATTTTGGCAAAAAAAATGGATCGTGCATTTCATTGGACTTTCAAATTGCATTATTGAATTCATTCAAACAGATTCAAGTTAAACTTGAAGTGAAAATAAAGTATCTCTTTCTTTTACTCCTTTATTTATAAGAGGTAAAAGTTATTTCATCATTACCTCAAGCAATTTCTGTGAACACTATAAACAGTATAAGCAGATTTGAAAGAGTGTTTACTTTGAACATTAGAGCAATACTTAAAAAGGATATAAAAAAGAAATATTGAATTTGTATGCATTAAAAATATGAGACGAAAGGATTCAAGATATATTGAATAGCTGAAGTTGTTCAAAACATTAATGACTTCGCATTGAGGCATTGGTCATTTAGGATGTTTAGCAATTGAGCGTAAAACAGAGACCAGTGTTCCATGCTCAGATGGATGGCTAATGCGTTGAACAATCTGAAGTATTAAAATACATTTGTTATTTAGTAACAAGTTCTCATCATGAACGACAGTGCGGAAATATTTAAGTCGTAAATATTGTTAATCCAACAAGATGGTACTTACGCAAAATAAGGCCGATCACTTCTGGTAAAATTGTCGCTAAGAGCATATGCCCAATCGTACATCGTCTGTTGAGGCAACCCAAATTCTTCAGCGCTCTTGCTACGCGCCCAGCTCACCATTGTGTCTCCAAACACTTCCTGAGTGAACAAACCTCCAATCAGATGAGATGAATTTGAGGTGTCATACTTAAAATAATTCTCAAACAGTCTTTGAGAGAAAAGGGGTTACATATTCGATCTGGAAATCATCTATAATACTTGTATGTGAAAAATGGCTCAGGAACATCTCTACAATTTGAGAAAATAGGACGTAAGTTAAAGGCTATTAATGAGTGTGGTTTGCTTTGTGTATGAGTATACATCTATGAATGTTTCATATGGTTGTGTTGAATGCAAGGAAATGCCTAGTTTGATTTAGGGATGCAATATCGATATCAATGTCGATGTTTCTAGAACATCGATATGTATATAAAATCATCGATGTATTTAACGTCGACATTTTTTAGCTGACGTTTTTTGACATCGATGTTTTGTGTTTGATGTTTGTTCGTGATTGATATTTTTTAAACAATAACAAAGTTCTATAATAATTTTCAAATATTCATAAATTGAATATTTTTCAGACTTAGGTGATAAAAAAAATGAAATTGAGTCTTCGTCAATAAAGAAGTCTATTCTATATCTGAATGGTTGAATCAATTCATTTCAGTTTTGTTTGTTATCATGGAGGTATTTTTTTTTACTTTTTTGTCTATTAAATATTAATTTAAAATGTAAAAAACATTCAAATTTAATCCATTCCGCGTGAACTTCAATGGTTACTAATAGTCTACAGTTTTAAAAACGACCGTGTTTCATAACATCCATGGTTTTGAGTCGTTGCTTCATTAACATCCATGTTTTAATTTGGAGTGCTTTGATTATACGAGAGAGTTACCTTCGCTCATTACGACAGACGTGAATGATGTGAAAAGTAGAACCAAACCTGATTTACGGAGCACTCGATGGACTTTAATATGATCTTTGGTGTTTTTATATGTAAATGAAAATAGAATATATATATATATATATATATATTATTAGATATATAGATATTATTTGAAAGTGGGGGTCAAAAGGCAATTAAACAAAATGAGTAATGACTTCGGGCGCGTCAGCCACTGGGTTTTTAAGTTTCGTAAGAGCAGTGTGAGTTCTAACCAGGGATGGCGACGTTCCTTACCTGTTACAAGGAAAGATCCGGTGATCACGTACCCCTCACATTGCGGTATCCTTCAAGTATCGAGAAAAATAGTAAGTCTATGAATATTTTCAAACACAATAGAAAAATTTGAATAATAAAATACGATGATATTGATATAAAAAGTTAACTGATATGTTACATTAAAACTGTTTGATGTGTACATTTAAGTATGAATTTATTTATGGAGTTATATATTTGTCTTTGGAAATTTACCTATTGCATCTCTGTACATTTTCACTTATTTTATTCTTTAAGGGTAGCTTCTTTATGTTTTGTATATTTACAAAAACTTGGATTGTAAATTCAAAAAGGAAAAATTATGAAAGAAAGTATGCCACACACAGAACATACTACGTAGAAGTAGACAGATAAATTATAAACCCATTATTGCTAACCATCACAACTGGTTATCGATGGTTACTAATTCCAAGAAATTACAATGTACATTATCTCCGAAAAACAAGATGCGAATAAATATTATTATTATATTATCTTTCCCAGTGGACACCACTCTCTCCGAGGCCTTTCGACACGTATGGTAGTGCATATAAGGGTAAAGGCGTATGAAAAGTAAAAGAGGTGGGCAAAGATAAGGAAGGAGAGATCCGTGGCGAGCCGTGGCCCGTTCGGCAGAGAAATGGTCCTGCATTTGCGTTTTATTGATCGGATAAACCACTGAAAACTACCGATCGGAGCAACCCACCGGTATAATTCACCTCCAGAAAGTGATTCAATACGACACACGCGTGTATCGAAAGTTTGCCACAGCTGGAAATCCAACCGTACCGAACACACGGCACAATCTCCTTCCTCATCATTTTCCACTCCCCTTCCTTCTCATATGCCTTTTCCACAGCATGCACTACCACACCAGTGGGGAAGTGACAGCTGGTCTGGGATGGAACGGAGCCGACTGGGAGAGATACCTGAAGGAGGAGTATCTCGCAGGGTGACGGGTAGGTGAGCTCCGGGTCTCCCCCTGCCAGTAGCCACAGTCAATTCGATTAACAAGAGATTCAATAAATTCGATTGTCAAGAGAGGTTAGGAAGCGTAGCCTGATGGCAGCGCTGGCGATAGCGTCTGGCGCACCTGAAGAGCGGGGAGGAGGTCCGTGTTGGCGAGGCGCAGGTACAGGCGACGGATGGTGCGCAGCGCGGGGCGCCACACGCCGGGGTCGGATTCGTTGCGCAGGGCCCAGAGCGCGCGCAGCGACACCTCGGCGGGCAGCAGCCGCGCCGCGCCCAGCTGCTCGGCGTCGTCCAGCAGCTGCGCGCGGTTCAGCGGGTGGATGCCGTCGTGGTCGGGCTGCGCCATGGCCGTCAGCAGCAGCTCCCAGTTCCGCTCGTCATAGTTCACGCGGTAGAAAGCTGACAAAAGAACCGTCTTTCAGTTAGCTTACCAAATGTGTCGTTAGAAGTTGTATGCTTGAGAGTATAAGCTTCCGCGGCCTAAATCAGTATTTACTTGGCTGTCCGGGTCCGCGTCCATGACGAAGGTGCCGACGTTTCGGCCGCCATTCTGCGACCTTCCTCAGGGCGTAATGCCTGGCATTACGCCCTGAGGAAGGTCGCAGATAAGTTATATGCTTTCTTCTTCGAGAATTACGCTCAATACACTACAATGAAGGAGAGATTAATTTGTATATTTGACTTGTTTGAAGAACAAAGTTCAAATTACAGAAACGTGGATATTTGAATGTCAGATTACAATACACTCGGATATAAGAAATAGAAAAAACTGTACGTTGTAAGCTAAGTCGATTAGGAGTTACTATTAACTATTATCGGCAACTTTTATTGTCTACCATTACGTGATCGTAATTTATTCTGCATTGCTAGATTAATTTGTGATATTGATTATTTTATATTGTTTAGGTTGGATCGACGATATTAGAACATAATTAACGTCTGTATATAATATTATCCAATTTAAAATAATTAACCAATTCTAAAATTAGTGAATTAATTAGAGTTTGTGAAAAAACCTTGGCTAGAGTTAAAAACGGGTGGAAAATAGAAGAAATCATTTCAAGCTTAAGGCCAAGACATTGAAATAGGAGTGCAATGTGCAATCTCTGAGCCAGACTCGTGTCTCGAGCCAAAAGGACTTGCCCTCAGGAGGCCTCACCGGCGTCCTGCACGTTGAGGACGAGCCAGTCGCCGGCCGGCAGCCCCTGCAGCGTGAGCGGCTCCCGGCCAGCCACGCGCAGCGGCGCCGTGCGGTTTGAAGTCGGCGTCGCCGCGCGTGGTGTAGACACGGGCACGCCACCAGCTCTCGTGCCGCCGCTTGGCGCTGGTGAAGAAGGCGCTGCGAGATGGTGGCGGTGGCCGGGCGTAGTCGGCGTCACGTCGCAACCGGGCTAGCGCTGCGGTCCACGTGTCAAGAAGCGCTTCAGGGAGAGGTAAGAGGGAAGCGCTTGGTCCTTCGTGGTGGCCTTCTGCAGAGCAGCAAAGAGGTCGTCGGCAACGGCTGCCCCGAACGCACTGGGAAAAGAATTGCATGCCACGCTTGGGATCTTTTCAGTCATCTTAAATCCTTGTGATTGTAATAATTCAACTACATCTGCAAGGGATATCTAACAGAACCTACAACACAATATTTATAAACATAGATGAACCTCAATTAATTGTATGATATGAATGGAAAAGTTCGAGAGATTTCGAGTACTAATTGTAAAACGTAGAAACATATAGGCACAGTATGTAAAACGTTAAAAATTATCAGTAATTTTAATTTGGAGCTGAGAGAAAAGTAATATAATGTTTTTGAACATTGATAGAGAGGGAGCAAGAATTATAACTTCATTACCAAAACTGTGTCATGTTCCTCCATAAATTGCATGTATTACACTTCATTTACATACCATCATCATCACTTTCATTACATTCAAGTTTAACTTTCAGAAAAAAACACCAAAATACACGTATTGCATGTAACGATAACAAAAACCATGAAATTTAATAACTAATATGATTTGTATTGCACGTTACAAGTGGTGAGAACCACAGTTCTTAATTAATATAATGTCGTGCGATCATACGATTTACATAATTTTGCACGATTTTAATAATTTTAGATGTTGAATGTCATGTAGTGCACTAATATAAATGTCTACGTATGCGACGAAGATTCTCATAACTGTATACAGAAGCATTTCATTATTTGGCGCTATTCTTACGGAGGTCGGTTGCATAATTTCAAAGACCTAACAGTACTCGTTGTTTTGAGAAGAATGCAGAACATCGTTCAGACCTGTGAGAGTTCTCCCAGAGGACGTAACTGAGAGTTGCGTAACACTGGCGTTCTTCTCTGTACGTGTTCGCTTGGTTGCGTAATGCATTTAAGATGACTGCACTCTTCAGCTTCGTTTTTATATGTACGCTAGACAATACGCCTTGTACGATTACAAAATTCTTTTATGAGAGAGAGCACTCGAAGGCAAAGCCTCGAAAATATGAGTAAAAATTCCGCAAAGCGGTAGTGGTCGTAAGTTTTCATTGTGAAAGATTTCAGTTTCTCTTTTTCTGAAGATAAAAATAGTAATTTTGTATTAAGCTATGCCACAAAATATTAATAATTCGTATGGATTCAGTGGAAAACTGTATTGCCTAGATTTTGAAGAGGCACTTCATCAATTTAAATTTGATATAATAATAATTTTACTGATAATTTTGGTTTTCACTGTAAACTCCGACCGATAGTTTATGTCAATTCAAGAATTATTTTAAATATGGCCAGTAGCATTTCAGGTGAAGAAAAGTCAACTCAAGTTTTTCTCGTCACCATCTTTTTAATTTAACGCATGTCAAAGAAAAAATGTTTTTAAATTTACAGAATTGCAATACATTTTGAAGTCTGACTCTTCAATAACTGTTGAAACAAATCGAAAAGATCCAGTCAGGCACATTACAGTAATAAAGCAATTGATGTCCTCAAAGTGCCGAAAAATTAACGTTGAATGGCAATGTGAAGCATAATATGTCGTTCATTCTCCGAGTACCAAATTACGGTACACAAAATTATCACAGAAATATTGAGATAATGAACAAATATGAGGTGAATAATTTCAAACCCAGCAATTTTCTCATTTTTCGGAATTGAAGACATGGGTACTAGGTCGATCTCGATAATGGGACAATCTATTCTCCAGCAGATTTCTTAAAACTTCGCAAAATACGTGATATTTTTAATCATAAAATTCTAAATCAATATTAATATCCAGCATTCTCTCAGAAATTGTTTCAAAGCAATCTCTTAAAAATAAATTAGAGAAACAAAACTTTAGCCTCCAAGTGTACAATTGCAGTGTTATGTCGTGCATATTATAATTTGTCAATATAATCATTGCACAACATATTCGACTTCTAAAAGCGATTGTAGTATTCCGAACAAATAAAAATATAGAAGCAAGATTCCTTGTGGATGAAAACTTCTAACAGAATATGGGTTTTGCTTACATAACTTTGACGCAATCTTTGAGTAAACCAAAATACTCGCTAGCAGTTACTTCAAGATCAGTCATTTTCATATTTTGAAAGCCAGCTGTACAATATTTTCATGGTTTACTCCAAAAATATAAAAGGAAACAAACGGTAACGTGAAAGGATCTTCCAATTAATTGTTGAAACTGATAATAAATCTTCAAAGTCGAAGGGACACTTAATACATGAGTTTAGAACTCCACTATAAGAAGTACTATAGCAGGCCACCATAAGAAAATCATGAAAATTAGAGATAGATATGTATCAATGTTTAGTAGAACCCCGCTAACCCGAAATCCACGAATCCAAAATTTCGGATGATCCGAATAATATTCGGGATAGACAAAAAATAAAAAAATAAATAATTTGTCAGTTGAAATGGAAAATTTATTACATGCTATCAGTTATGCAGGTACTATACTCCATTGTGCGCAACATGGCTACTTCATGTCTCTGCGCTCAGAATCAGAATCACACCCTCAAATGGAATAGATCACCCCCCAAATTAATTCGGAATATCGGGATTCTACTGTAGTCTCCACATATGAAATAGGAATAAGCATACTTACTTCGAATTTAAATAGTAGTTTATACCCTTGAAGAATGTTGCTTCCGTCAAGAAATGCTGAATCATTTTAATCAGTGAGCCACCTGACAAACGAAAATAGTAGCTTAATAAATGAAAATAAGTTGTACGACACTCGTATCACACTTATACTTGATTTTTTTCATTTACTCCATTAGTTTTCAAATTATTGTTATTTTTTAGTTTACTTTTAGTGCGATCAACCACGTGATTGTTACCGAGAATTTCTCTTACAAGTAGCCTACAATGCGTCATTAAATAAATATAAAAATACAATATATATTATGAAGGAATTAGGTTTGATAGATGCATACTTAAAGATAAACAATCTTGGAATAATAATTTATTTCAAGCGACGTGTTCCGCAGCAGTTTTAGAGAATGTCATCCCCTTTATCAGGCAGTGAAATTAAGTGATAAAATCATATATTCAAAAGATTAAAGTTATTAACTATACAAAAAAGAAATGAAGAAATAGTAAAATGTCAGAATTTTTGGAACAGAAATAGAAAGATTTAAAAAACAGCAGTATAATTTGCAATCATCTTAGAGTAGAAACAATTCAAAACAATTGTAACAATTAACATGTATCCATTGGAATTAAATATACAGAAACATATTGATGGCTTTACAAAATTTACCAATTCTTTATTGGTCTTCATTCGAATGAAGTATTGCTTCATGATTATATTCGGTTAACTCTCTTTGACTGTTATATCTGGGACATACTTTAAAAATGTGATCAACATTTAGAAGGGTATTGCGTTTCTCACTTGGGAGATGATTTTTTAATAAAAAATGGAATTCGCAATGCCATGCCATTATTTCTAGAAAGCGCTTCTTGCTCCTTGTGTCTTATTTTTTATATGCATTTGGGGACAATGGAAGATCAATTAAACATTTGGGTACATTGAACAATTAATTAAATTTACTGCCACCTCTGGTTATGACGACAGGTTCAATTTGAGAAGGGATCCATACTAGGATTAAATACATTTCTCCTCTCATAATCTGAAAATATTCTTCCACAACAACAGTGTTTATTTCTTTTTTAGTACTGTTGCTCCAGTTAATTGGAGATAACGAGCTTGAAAGCATAACATTATGAGAGTGAAGCTGGAGGAAGGGTTAAGGTGGTGTTGAAATTAAGGCATAGGTCTGCAGTATTATAGCGAGAACGACAAAGAGACGTGTGCGAGAATCAGTTCGCGTCCGTGTTTGGTATACTATTTTTTGACACTCCGTGAGCGAAACGCAATGCGTTAAGTCAATCAATATAAATTCAATATCAAATAACTAGAAATACCTCATTTGTACAAAAGTAAATGCATTCCAGTCAGTGATGCAGGACACTGTTGTTTCGAAATCACAAACGAAGACGTCAAGACAAAATGCAATTACGAATCTGTACAGATGTTTCGCACACCCTTGGCCATGTTTCGCACTCGCTTCGCGATGTTTTGCACACCAAAACATCCAGCTGGTTTACAAACGGAAAACAAGTATGAGAAACCGAGTTTCGTGCACAGCGTGTTATAATAGTACTTTAACGTTTTAAATTTCAAATTTTCTTTTCGAAATATATAATGGGACATTATTAACATTATTATTATTATTATTATTATTATTATTATTATTATTATTATTATTATTATTATATATTCTTATCATCTACTATACTGGTTTCGAATCATGAGGTAAATTAATGTTCTTGATTTTCGCTAAAATTTTAGCAATGAGTACATAATCTACACTGCCTGCCAAGAAAAGTGATGCAGTCAGAAGGAGTGTTTAGAAGTGAATGTAAGTACATATGCTTAAAGACCACTGGACGTTATTAAACCGATTAGAATATGGGATGAAAGAGACAAGACCGTTGGCAGTCTCAGATTGAAAGTTGGAGCCAGGAGAGGTAAAGTGTCGCACCTTCTGTGGCTGCTGAGTATGCCCTTAAACGGCTCGACATGGTGTCGAACAGCCTTTGGACCCACTCTTAAGGCAAGGTCGTCCACAGTAGTTGAGAACGTTTCTCCAGATCTTGCAGGTTGATACTCCGAAGGAGTCCGCTTCCAATGGCATCCCACTCGTGTTCGATGATGGAGACGTCCGGAGATCTTGCTGGCCAAGGGAAGAAGTAAACATGCCCTAGGCAGTCCAGAGACACACGTGATGTGTGTGTGCGTGTATTATCTTGTAGGAATACTGTTCAAGGGTGCTGTGACATAAGGGGTAGAATGTGCGGACGTAAAATGCCTCTCACGTATCGCTGTGCCTTTAATGTCTGCCAAAGCACTATTAGAGGTGATTTGAACGCACATCCGATGGCCCCCCACACCATGATGTTCGGGGTTACGCCTGTGTGTATCTCCACATTTTGGGTAGAATGTGCCCTCTGCCCACCACACTCAAGCAGGGAGGTCATCGGAGGTTATGGCGAAGTGGGACGCATCACTGAACATGATGCGATGCCATTCGTCTGCTCTCCATGCCTCCCGGGCAAGGCGCCAATTCAACCGCCGACGTCAGTGTTCTGGTGTCAATTGACGCATGGGGCGGTGGGACCAATCATCTGGACACGTCGAGCCACTGTGCGGGAACTCACAGGATGTCATAGTTTCTTCAGTACATGTTTGCGGATGGCGGGTGCCGTCATGGTCACAATAGGACGTTCCTCCCTGGGGTTGAGTTTCTAGGTTGTCCCGATTTCTAAGTTGTCCCTTCTACGACGTGCATGGCGCTCTCATGCACCTATTGATTCCAAATTGATCAACCTCAGTGAATGGCGGACATGCCTAGAGATTGCACGACCAACCTGTCTCATGAAGTCCCACAATGAGGCCTCTGTCAAATGCAGTCAATTTGTGGATAGGCTGTAGAACGCGTCTGCTTGGCATCAAGTATGCTTCTTACTTCGTCGTTATTCACTGTCTGACTCAAAGCAATAGACTCATAAAAACTGCGCAGCAGGCGGTGACATCATGAATGCACTCTGGTGGGTGTTCTACACATCACAGATACTTGTGAATCTAATCATATACTCACACTTCAATAGTGCGCATTCATATCAAAATGTAATAATGTTGGACCATTCTTTCTGAATGCATCACTTTTTTTGTCAAGCAGTGTATATTCTGAAGTCGAAATGTACGGGCATTTACTTACCTTTTAAGTATGTGATACTATCAAAGGATGCTGCGATCTCCGTGGGCGTCTCAACAGATCGCGTGATAGGGTGAGAGAACTCGGGGATGGCGTCCAACTCCAAGGCAGTGTGATGGAAATCAGTTACAGCAGTGGAGAGCATGTTCCATTTGGGCTCCAGCTACGCATCAATCACAGAAATTAACTAATTAGAAATATCAAAAGTGTGAAACAAAAATAGGAACAAAAAGGACTTGTATACAAAATTGAATGTCAGCCATTCCATATAAAAGAGGAAAATGTTTAGAAAATTAAATTTGTAAATAAGATTAAATTTATGAGATGTGCCTCTCTAATTTTCAAATTTACAATTCATAAAAGAAAATGAAGAATGAACAAAAATAAAGAAAACATTTAGAGCGGTTTTTTGGGGGGGAAATGTTTTTAAAATTTGAATTGCTTATATTTTGCACCAAATTACAAGAAAACTAACCTTTTTTTCGCAAAATTGAACAAAAACAAATTTAAAATCAATCCTCAAGAAACATATTTTATTAAGTAAAATCTTTAATTTTCAATATTATAATTGAAAGAAGATGATCCTAAAAATTGTACTTTTGCAATTTTCAAAATGAGATTTCAACGCATATGAGACCTGCTTCATTCTCGTAAGCGGCTATTACGCTAATCGGAGACAAAGTTTGATCAAAACAACTGATGCTCTTTTAGAGAAACTTTTGAAAAATATTTTGAAGCTTAATGTAAAGACTCCTCATGAAGCAAGAAAATCAAGACACTCGTTTGACACTCCCAAAGCTTCAGGTTTATTCAGATCGATTGAGGGATATGGGATCAATTTTGAAGAAATATGGTTGAATGGTTCAGCACTAGCGTTGACCACAGACGAACAGACGCTTAGCCGTCAATCAGTTTTTCAGTATCAAGAACCTCGAATTCTGGCTACACCACGTGTTAGATTATTTCTTTTTAAATTTAGTAACATGATTTATCCAGTTTTTCGTTACCAAGGCCCGGCAATAATAGTTTTTCTGACAAAAATTCTCTGATTAACACTCTCTTCTTACGAAGTACCTTCATAAGGGCGGAAAATAAAAATATTCCCTGGCTACTCCAAGAATTAGTACTGACCATCAAATAATTTTTATGAATGCAAAAATATAGAGATAAGATAAAGAGAATAGAAGGAATTCAAGATTGGTTTGCAAACTTTGTTTATAACGGCTTCCAACTATGGCAACTCGCAAGTTGAGTCGAATAATTTCACTAGACTTTCTGGTTGTTTAATGAGCAATTTAAATAATGTAATTATTTGTGCTTTGATACATTTTTTGTTTAATATTAATATTTTTTAGGTTGGCAGTCCTTAAATGTAAATGTTTCTTTCCTTCCTCTCTTGTGCCTCCTCTTTTGCGTTAGAGTACAAAAACTTTCTTTATCACTGTTAACACGTCATGTCATCAGTCTGTTCACAATGTCGGCTGGAAGGTTTTAGGTCTTGCTTGAACGTTGGAAGACTGACAAACAATTTTTTAAAATTAGTTTGAATTTGGTATAATTTATAAAGAGGTGAGTTTCAGATCTTCTTATTTTTAGTCGAATGGATAGACCAAAAAATGTTCCTTGTATATTTTTTACTTTATTTTGTGAATTACCGTCTTTAATACATAGGTGAATTACGCCCTATAATACATTGTGTAGTCAAAATCCGCGTTTTGTGAGTTATTGAGAGGGTGATGCTTTTAGAGTCAGCCTTCACAATCACTACCCTGAAAAAATTAATGCAGGTAGTCATCGAGTCGTTTAAAGTAATAATAGTTGGGAAAATAAAACGTATTCAGAGACTACTGAATAGCAATAGCCACCAATTCAGGCGATGGAAGTTGGTGTTTGCGGCGACTGACAGCGGTGTTGGAGCTCTCTCGAATATAACCTGTCTCTTTGGCAGCGCCCATGCGAATGCGTTTTTATACAGAAAGCACAATATTAAAGGAATATGGGTTTTTCTAACGCAATGATGGACCAAATTGAGTCTCGACACGTCGTATTGTTGAAATGTTAATAAATATACATTAACTACAATATTTTATTCAAGAATTAGTTCTCCCACGCGGTAAAAGAGGAAAAATGGGTTAAATGTTGGAGTATTTACGTAGTACGAGTACGAAAAGAAAAATAATTCCAAGAACCCACCAAAAATAAATAAAACATACCTTACTTATGACAACGTTTTCAAAGAAAGTAGCTGTGCCCTCGCTGAGCCAAGTGTACGTCCACCACTGCGGACTCACCAAATTACCAAACCATTGATGAGCAAATTCGTGAGCAAAGAGGGCAGTAATTCCTTGTCTTTTTGCAAGCGAGTCGTCAGGCTCAATCAGATCGGACCTAAAAAATGTATCTGTCAAATACACATTGATAGAACATAAGCAAAATTAAAAGTAAATCCCTTTCCGACTATTCCCTAAATCCATTGTTAGCGACATGTGACACCTTACACTCGAAAATATTACTACAAATGTAGATATGTAGATGTAGCGTTTTCTAATGAAACATTTGTAGTTGTTTCGTGATAAAAATTCGCCTTAATTTAATGGATATTTAAAATTTAATTGTATTATTGCCATGCGACTCACCTGAATGTGACAAGACCCCAGTTTTCCATGGCACCGGAGGAAATTTCTGGAAGGGCGACTTGATCCATTTTTGGAAGTGTGTAGTTAACTCCAGTGATATTTTCCATTATTTCTAGAAGCTTCGGGGTCACAGATAGAAGGTATCGAGTATTGTCAATATTACGTGGATCAGCTAGAATGCGGAAGGGTCCATGCTCCACAAATGGAAAATCGGACACAACGAAAGCCACCAAATACGATGACATGGGCACCGAACGTTGGAATGTATACCAGTAACGTTTCTCAGTACTGGGGCTAGAAAACAAAATGTAAGTTCTAAAGAAAGTGAGATCATGCAATTGCTATAAAACACTTCTTGAAAAAAATAAGATTTTATTTATATAATGTTCTTTGTAACTATAAAAATAAAACGTACTTGTTTCAATGTAAGGACACGAATTAAAATTCGTTAGGCATTATATTTAGGTTGTAGGGACTATGATTGCCAACAGAAATGAACTACTGATGGTTAAGTGGTGAAAAAAAGTTGAAGATCTCTAAATTGTTGTGAAGAAAGAACTGGGGTTCATTACGAAAGTAAATACGAGTACTAGCGTACCATTGAACAAACAATGGTTACTCACTCAGGGCCAGTTATGGAGGCAACTGACATGTAAACTGGCATACGAAAGTAAATACTAGCTTACGATTGAGCAATCGATGGCTACTCACTCAGGACCAGTTATGGAGGAAACTGGCATGTAAATTGGCATACAAAAGTAAATACTACCTTACGATTGAACAATAGAAGGCTACTCTCTCAGGACCAGTTATGGAGGCAACTGGCATGTAAATTGGGATACGAAAGTAAATACTACCTTACGATTGAACGCTACTCACTCAGGGCCAGTTACGGAGGCAACTGGCATGTAAACTGGCTACGAAAGTAAATACTAGCTTACGATTGAGCAATCGAAGGCTACTCACTCAGGGCCAGTTACGGAGGCCACTGGCATGTTGGACACGACGTTGTGGCCTTCGGGCGCGGCGATCCGAATGACGAAAGTGGCTTTCAGCGCAGGTTCGTCGAAGCAAGGGAATGCGCGACGGGCATCGGTAGCTTCGAACTGCGTACTCGCCAGCCACCTGCGGAAGCGATGCACTCCACAAACTGCGCTCCCCGACTTCTCTTTACCCTTGTGGCGTCTTTGCCGGGGCAATAAATCACAGACGGTTTGAAAATTATTAAGTATTTACTTTTAAAAAATGCTCCAACACCTGAAAACTATGTACAATAATTACAATAAACAATATTGACCCGTTAGTAGAAGAAATGTTCCCTGGATACCACCACCGCTGGCCTGATAATTAGATATCATATTCGGTGTGATGAACCAGTAGCCTACGTGAGCATACAAGCGAGTATGCCGCACCTCGCATCTCAACGTAGCACGCCGGCTTCACTTCTCTGTCTCAGTAGCCTATGCATTAAAATGCAGCGCCGCGCACAACCCACACGACTTCCTACCGACGCGCCCAAGAATCAGAAGAAAGAGTTTAGGTCCGGGGTCCGTTTACATTACCTTCTGGGCCGGCTGACGGAACTGCGTCATCTCGCTGTTTCCGCCGACGCGTTTCCGCTCCTAGCCTGCCTACGGGGTTCCCAAGTTGCTACCCACGACACGGCACCCCTTCCCTTCCACTCCCTAGGTTTGCCATTGTTCATCCCAGCGTGTCTTCCGCCAGCGCTGTCCATGAGCACAAAATGCGCGTGGCTGATATTTGGTACTGAAACGAAGAACGTTTCCGCATGATAACAAGCAAAATGATTACTAATTCTAAGTGAAAGAAACACTAAATCGATCAGCGTAGTAACGCCGCCGCCGCCGCCGCTGCCACCAACGGTCAAACCG